TGTACTTCGAGAAAAGGATTTTACAGGCAAATAAAAAATTGATTTTATTCTGTACCATGGGTTCTGCTGTTTCCTACAAGAGGATTGGACAATAGGCCCAAAACCTAAAGTGGAGTTAAAATACCCAAACAAAAAATCACTAGGAGGTAGAGGTTTTTTTTTTTTTAGCAGAAGAGAATAGCAGTCTTTTGCCAAAACACCTCTTCCCTGGCAATTGGTGTTTTTTTGGGGGGGTTGTCTTCTTTTCATGCACACTGCTTGACCCTTACCAGAGCCTGGTACTGGGGACAGTGTAGGACTGTACAATAAGAGGTAGGTGTCGTGTGTGTGTGTGTGTGTGTGTGTATGTCACCCCCACCAAGGAGGTTTAATTCAGCTTTGAGAGCCAACCCAATAGGTTAAAATACTACCTGAGCCAACCTTCATCAGTTTAGCTTAGTGCACTTGAGGTAGGATGTTTCTCCAAGCTCTGATAGAATAAAAAGCTGCTGGCAGATACAGGCCGGATATCTAAAATCATCCAGTTTCTTGAAAATTTGATGATCTGTCCTTTTTCTTTAAATGTGCTGGAATAAGTTCTCCATGGCTTAAATCTGCTATGCTCCTCAGAGAGTGAGCCTATGCTCTGAAGACTCACCCTTTCAGGTTTGAAGATGCCCGCCTTTGCAGAGCCAGTCGTGCATTCCTATGCGCAGTGATGTGGAATAGTCAGTCACCAGGATTTAAAAAAAACAGGAAAGGTGGTACACAAGATTTTAAAGTTGAAGGATTTATTTGCCCGTTGCAAGCAAGATGACTGGCTTAGGATCATGCAAACCTAAGCACTCAGCCAAGGTTTTTCTATACAATGCTTTTTTCTAAAATTCTATCTTCCAAATTATCTCTGATTGGGCTAAATTGCTGAGAAGGAATTTAACATTATAAAATGCTCTTCACCATCTCATTGAGTGTACAGGGTAGATGGTCCAAGCGCTCAAATTTCTATATGAGTCTATTATTATTTATTAATTATGCATTACTGCATAATTATGTTATGCATTAGTTTTATCATCTGTTTTAATCTGTAGTGCACTGTATCTAAATTGCCAGACTTCAGATTAAGGCGGAACTTCACTCTCTCAATTAACATGGACTATTTTTAATCCTTCTGCTGCTAGCATTAGTAAATAGATAGGAAAGTATAGCATATTTACTTGTTTTAAACTTTTTTTTTTTTTTTTGTACATTTTCTTCAGTTAATTCCTGGTTTCCATGCCTAGGCAAAATGATGTCATATGTTCTGGCAGCCTTCAAGAGGGGAGGATTCTCAGCTCAGCCTATGCCTGAGCTAAGGGCAGATGGATTCCAAGAAGTAAATTATTCATGAATCATCTGCCCTTACTCAAGGTGGCCATTGCCAGAAATGCCAGGTGGTGTTTGTTTTTCAAAATGATTTCTCAGCAAAATAAAGCATGGAGACATGGATGGATGGGGACGTTTGCTTTGAATATTAAAAATGAATTAAATAGCATTTTTGGTTTGTGGTGCTCAAATTCAGTGTAATTCCACATTAAGCCTCCAAAAAGGTTGAGCTGCATCTGCCTGCCAGGCAGGGGTCCTGTATCCACTGGGAATGGGTCAGACCAGGAAGTAGAAGGACTTACCTGAAATTACTTGGAGATGATGTGATGGAGGCATCCACAGTGCTGTGGAGTCACAGGATGATAGTGGGTACCCAGGTGTCACGGAGACCTAGGATGCTCTAGGGTCACTGGAATTACTGGGCCCTCTGGGTTCCCAGGAGAAACTGGGTGCTGAATTACTTGCAACACACGGTACTCTGGGGTTAGGGAGACACAAGGTTAGATGGCAACTGGCGGTGCTGGAGATACAAAGGTCTTGAAGTCTCAGAAAGCATGAGCGTGCGGGCGTTACTAGAGGCACTATAGTATCTGAAAAGTTAGAAAAATGCTGAAATGAACTTGAGTGCAGGGAGGCTCAGAGTTTGATAAAGTGCAGGAAACACAGGAGGCTCAACAGTTTTGATGGAGTGCACAGGATGCTCATGAAGTGCATGGTACAGACAGTGAAGGCAGGGGTACTAAAGAAGCTGTAGGCAGACATTTGAGACACAGGGGCCCTGTTGCAAGCAAGGTCTAGACCTTTAAGGAGATAACTTGGTCCCGATTGGCTGTGGTGATGATGGAAGTCGGCAGCTGTGTGCTGAGAAGGCACAGCAGTTGAACGGAGCACAGGTGACACACCTTTCTACAGGTCCTTGTTTCAGTGAAAAAGAGAGATGGAATTTCATTTTCCCAGAAAAGGTGCCAACACATCAGGTGGATGTACCCAGGATCTTTCTCCTGACTGAAGTTCTTTTTAGGCAATCAGTAATTTTAAAGCTTTCCACTAGAATTTTTAGGTGAGTGAGATCTGATGAACCTTGTATTCCTGGGATGAGTTGGCTGAGGGAATAGCTAGTGATGAGGGGCTAGATATTCGATTCCAAACCAGAGGTTTGAGAAGCAACATATTAATATTAAATTAATTTGGTAACATTAAATGTGGAGGCAGACTGTTTGTAGGCCCTATATATTGTGGAGCAAACCTAATGGAGGTATCTTTGGAATGAATGTTCTTAGGGGAAAGCCAGACTTTATCCTCAGGTTGGAGAAGCTCAGATGGTGCCTGAACACCAGGATGTCTGAAAAGTTTGGAGTCATGGGCCCAGTGTACTTGAATGAGAAAGTCAGAGTCAGGATGAATGTGAGGGGAAATGATGAACTCTTAGCTTAGCTGGAGCTTTGAAACCTTGAGAGTTAAAAGAACATGACAGTCAAGTCTATAAATAGGTCCCGATTGACCTATTTAGCGCACATAAAGAAGGTCAGCTGCTATGCACTAAGGTAACCAAGTAAACCTCAAATAACCAAAATATACAAAAGATGTGCAGCGCTAAAAATAAATAAAATCAAATTAAAATTGAATAAAAAAAGTTCATATAAGAAACCATCATGATAGATTATGAAAAAATGTTCATAAAGTGACTATAGGTGCTCATGGGAATCCTGCGTTCTCCTTAATTCGGTGCTTGTGCAATCCGATATAGAAGAAATGCGCACTCACCGGATCGCATAATAAAATGCGTGTTTGTGTAATAAATCCTGATTTATTTATTTTTTTATAATCTATTTATCATGATGGTTTCTTATATGTACCTTTTTTTTATTCAATTTTAATTTGATTTTATTTATTTTTAGCGCTGCACATCTTTTGTATATTTTAGATATACACACCTACTCCAGGTCTCGCACCACCATTTGTGGGTACAGGGAACTGCAAATCCAGTGGTGAATGGAGATGGAGATTGCTTGTGTTCTATTGTTCCTGAGAGGACCCTGATGTTGCCTATCCAATAGGAAATGTCCACGTCATGCAGGCACTTACATGGATACCCCGAAGAAGGACCCAAACAGGAAGTAAATAAACCACTGCTTAAAGAAAGTAAAAAAGGACATATAGATGGATAGATTTTTTTTTTTTTTCCTTCAATCAGATAAGATGCGGAATGAAGGGAATGACCAGGGGCTGAAATCTATCATGAAGTTTTTATGAGCTGTATGAATGGTGATACAGTGAGGTGATCATTTAAAGAGGTATCGCCACTCCTCAAGATCTAGTTTAATGATAAACAATTCCAGATCTGCAATACAAAAATTTTCTCTGCTGACAAGAATATTTTAAAGAAAAAGGCACAAGGGTGCCCACCCCCGTGGGTAACTGGAAGGCAATGACTCCCACAAAGATTTGGTGATGTCTGACCTTGTTTGTGCGTGATGAGAAAGGAGAGGCTTGCTTAAAAGCCTGGAAGGATTCAACCACAGCCAGAACCCAGAAGCTGGCAACAGCAAGAAGACTCGGTGCTGGAACAGAACACAGTTGAGTGTGATGGAGGTTTGATGGTAGATAAAATTATAAAAATTGCACTGGGGGGTTAGTGGACTCATCTTTCCTAAGTCAGGGTAAATGGACTCCTCTTCCCTAAGTCTTTAAGGGCAAGACGCTGCAGTGTAAAAGTTCTGCTTCTATTTCTACTTTAAAGCACCCCTTTCTGACTCCAGGTTCCCTCTTTTGAACCTCGTGACCATCATTGGTTTCCCTTTGCCATTGGGGAAAGCCAATACCGATTTTTTTTTTTTTTTTTTTTTTTTTTTTTTTTTTTGTCTATCCCCTCTTGAAAAAGATCTTGGCTCCATGAGTATTCTCCAAGGTGCTTGCATTCATGTTCTACAGCTAAGGGAAATTTCAGTAGAATATGTGAACAATCTCTTCTTAAGTGATTAGATATCACTGGAACTTGAGTACCTGGGATTCATACTGGATATGATTCCGCAAGAGTTTTCAGAAAGTGATTGTGTTTGCATTGACAGATGCTAGTTTTGGATGCAATAGTTTTGTTTTATATTGTTGGGGTGTGCCTGTGTTTTGGAAATCCCATAATATAGGGTAAAGAAGAGATATGTCCCTCAATGGACAATAGTGTGCAATTTTTTATTTTTTTTTAAGAAGTCAAAATTCTTTTTTTTTTTCTGATGTTCATTGAGGGACATGGATCCCTCTCATCAGCCTTGTATCCTTTTTACTGTTGTGAGTTTTACTGCCTTGTATTTCTTGCTACAACTGAACAGGCTTGATAAGGAAAAATGTTTGGCCCATTACGCCTGGCCCTTAAATTACGTGCTTAGTGCCCATATCTCCACATCAGAACAATCTTTACTGTGAGAAAAAAAACAAAAATACATTATTATGCAACTGAGGCTTTGCTTGTAGAACATTGGCACTCATCAAGCAAATCCTATCAGGTTTGGTTTCACATGAATGGAATACTGAAAATCTCAAATTCTGAACTGAGATACATAAGCTATTAAAATGTTCTTTAAATGTAAGTTCATTCCTCTTTAGTGTTCATATTTGTACATAATTTTAAAATGTTTTTAATTTTAAATATTATTTTCTTGTAGCTCAGATTCAGCAGTTTCGAAAGTTACAAAGAAGCCAGTGATGCCTGGAGTCTGCCCTCCTAAATGGGAATTGTCATCTGATCAACCATACCTGTGAACACTTAATGGAAGATTTTTCATATTAATCAGCAATTGGTTGCACTGTACAATAAAAAAAACAAACCTCTGAAAGTGTTTCCTTTTTATTGTCTTTATTTTTCATAATGCATAACAGTCATAAGGGATAGCATTGCATGTGTTAAGCGGTAATATCAGATTTAGGCTCCATGCACACTGGCTTAAAAAAATGCAGAAACACTGCTACAGAGTGGCACGCGAGCGCAAAATCATCTATATACAGTAGATATAAAAAGTCTACACACCCCTGTTAAAATGCCAGGTTTCTGTGTTATAAACAAATGAGACAAAGATAAATAATTTCAGAATTTTTTCCACCTTAATATGACCTATAAACTGTACAACTCAATTGAAAAACAAACTGAATTCTTTTAGGGGGGAAGTAAACATAAAAAACTAAAATAATGTGGTTGCATAAGTGTGCACACCCTTTTATAACGGGATGTAGCTGTGCTCAGAATTAAGCAATCACATTCAAAATCATGTTAAATAGGAGTCAGTACACACCTGCCATCGTTTAAAGTGCCTCTGATTAACCCCAAATAGAGTTCAGCTGTTCTAGTAGGTCTTTCCTGACATTTTCTTAGTCACATCCTACAGAAAAAGTCATGTTCTGCAGAGAGCTTCCAAAGCATCACAGGGATCTCATTGTAAAAAGGTATCAGTCAGGAGAAGGGTACAAAAGAATTTCCAAGGCATTAGATATACCATGGAACACAGTGAATACAGTCATGAAGACATGGAGAAAATATGGTGCAACAGTGACGTTATCAAGAACTGGACCTCCGTCCAAAATTGATGAAAAGACTAAAAGAAAACTGGTCTGGGAGGCTGCCAAGAGGTCTACAGCAACATCAAAGGAGCTACAGGAATATCTAGCAAGTATTGGCTGTGTGGTACATGTGACAACAATCTCCAGTATTCTTTATAGGTCTGGGCTATGGGTTAGAGTGACAAGATGAAAGCCCTTTCTTTTGAAGAAAAACATCCAAGCACAGCTAAATTTTGCAAAAAAAACACATCTGAAATCTCCCAAAAGCATGTGGGAAAATGTGTTATGATCTGATGAAACCAAAACAACACTGCACATCATCAAAAGAACACCATACCCACAGTGAAGCATGGTAGTGGCAGCATCATTTATGCTTTGGAGCTGGAACTGGGGCCTTAGTCAAGGTAGAGGGAATTGTGAAAACTTCCAAATATCAGTCAAACAAAACCTTCAGGCTTCTGCTAGAAATCTGAAGATGAAGAGGAACTTCATCTTTCAGCATGACAACGACCCAAAGCATACATCCAAATCAACAAAGGAATGGCTTCACCAGAAGAAGATTAAAGTTTTGGAAAGGCCCAGCCAGAGCTCAGACCTGATTCCGATCAAAAATATGTGGGGTGACCTGAAGAGGGCTGTGCACAGGAGATGCCCTCGGAATCTGACAGATTTTGAGTGTTTTTGCAAGGAAGAGTGGGGAAATATTGCCAAGTCAAGATGTGCCATGCTGATAGACACAAAAAGACTGAGTGCTGTAATAAACTCAAAAGGTGCTTCAACGAAGTATTAACGTAAAGGTGTGCACACTTATGCAACCATATTATTTTAGTTTATTATTTTTACTTCCCTCCACCTAAAAGATTTCAGCTTGTTGTTCAACTGATTTGTACAGTTTATGGGTTATATTAAAGGTGGAAAAAGTTCTGAAATGATTCATCTTTGTCTAATTTTTTTACATCACAGAAACCTGACATTTTAACAGGGGTGTGTAGACTTTTTATATCCACTGTATACGTTATTTTTCAGTTCTTGGGAAGGGGGCGCACGCTGTCAATCACCGGGTCCCGGCCGGTGATTCCTCGCACCCAATGACTACAGAATATTACACACGAGGGAGAGACCTGTGTATAAACAACACAGATCTCTCCCCTGTCAGCTCCTGCATACTCATAAACAAACAGTGTAGCCCTCTAAAAGACTGTGTCTAATACTCAATATTAATTAATCAATATAAATATTGTAATATACAATAGTGACAAAGAAAAATTAGTGCCAAACTAGGATATCAAACAGAAATCTATCACCCATTAAAAAATAAGTGTACTATCATTAAAAAATATGACTACTATAAAGCACAACCATAAGAATAGTGTACACACAACTATTATAATTTCAAAAACTCCAAACTTCGTCCAATAAAGGAATTCTTAGCAGTGCTCACACAGTGCCAAAAAGAATAAACATTTATAAATGTGTTTTAAACAATGTCCTTTTGTGAAAATGAATCAAATCATGCAGTGTGCAGCAGTGATAATTAAATAAATCCGTGATTGTGCCAAACTCTTCTCCTGTTAACGGCTAGATTGCCTCCTCACCTCCTCCTAGTGACCCCAAGGGGCCAACAGGCTTGCAAGATCACCCTGGATCCTTGATTTGCAATGGCCAGCAGCTTCCTTCCTTCCCTGGATCTCCTTTGTGGGGCTCCTAATGCCCCTGATCAGTCAGGATGGTTCTGAAGAATAATAGCTCACCAATCCAGTGAGCCAAGAAAACCTCTAAGTGCAGTATTTTAGTCAACTTGGTTTATTCAAAGAGTAAAAAGAGTATCACTCACATTACAAGCAGTCTTCCCTCCTCACTGATGTGTGGGTGTACTGCATGTGAATAGGACCTCCTGGGTGTAGCAAATCTTTGAACCTAATAAATCGGCTTGTTCAAGATTTGTTGAAAAAGGTTACCCGTCAGAGGAAATAGAACGGAAAATAAAGGAAGTGGGCAATATGGATAGAAATAATTTCCTTGAAGACAGGGTTAGGGATAAGCGGTTTGATGCACAAACTGCGGTTATTTTAGATTTTAATGTACATTTTAAAAAGATAGAAACTATTTATAAAAAACATTGGGATATCCTTAAGTTGGATCCGGTTATAGGGAAATCAATACCTGACTCCCCTAGATTTATTTATAGAAGAGCCCCTACGATTAGGGCAAAGGTGGTCAAAAATGTACTAGATCCTCCCACAAAAAAAATCATATTACTTTCCTGAATGAAAAAGGTTTTTTTTCCATGTAGAAATTGTTTTACATGTTTGGCTACAAAACGATTGAACAAGAGACAAAAAAGCTTTATCGCTACTACTACTGGCCAGGAGTACCAGATTAAGGACTTCATATCTTGTAAAACGGAGGGAGTCGTATATTGTTTGGAGTGTGAATGTGGGCTCCAATACATAGGCAGGACAAAGAGGCCACTGTGGAAGAGGCTAAGGGAACATGTCCAAAATATTAATAAAGGATTCCCAAAACACAGTGTCTCGAGACATTTTGCATTATACCATAATAAGGATCCCAGTAAAATGAAATTTTGGGGGATTGAGAAGTTTAAGAAACACTGGAGGGGGACTAACAAAATAAAATCCCTTAGCCAGGCTGAGTCCAGGTGGATCTATTGTATGAATACGCAAGTCCCCAAAGGGTTAAATGTCGAGTTCGACCTAAATTGTTTTATCAGTGATTATTGAGACGTGTTTTATTTATTCCTTTTACACTGTGAATAATCCTTGGCCCATTAATGCCTATTAGAAGCAAATATTTGAGGTATCACTGTTTTATTAAATTTTAACTGAAGTAGTTATGTGTTAACTATTGGTCTACTAATAAAGATCAGAAAAATGTTTTGGGCCATAAGATTTTAACAACAATTTAACCAGTACTTGTAGGAGATGGGTAGATGGTTTTGTACGGTTTTTTTCTTATTATGTTTTTTTTTTTATTTTTTATTGATTGGGAATCATTTTGGATGTATATTTGCTGTGGGTACACAGTATATATTTTAATATTTTTAAAATTGAATCATGTAAATGTGTGGGTAGATTACATGATGTAGGGATTTTTTGATATATTTCTTTTTTATACATAATTAGTATATCTATTTTTGAACACATATTTATATTTACATAATTTTTTATATCGGTATAAAGTTTATGGTCATTCCCTTGGTCTATCCCCCAGGTCTTTAGATTGGGTGTCAATTCATTTAGTTAGTTTATTTATTTATTTATTTTATAAGTAAACCCAACAAAAGTATTTCGTTTTTTTAATATATAGTATTGAGTGATTCATTGGCATGTATAATCCAGTTTCCCTAATAAAGGTCTATTAATAATTTATTCAGTGCTTTAGGATTCCCCGTTTTATAGTCAATGACTCCAACGGTGCGGTGTCTATTTGGATTAAGAGATCCCCCTATTCATTACATATTGTACTATGCGGCAGGTTAAATGAAAGTAGGACATCAGAAAAATGGCCGCTGTTCTGAATGGGAGATGTCTCCAAGAAAATGGCGCAGGCACGCTGAATGCATGTGGGGCGGGCCGCTAGTAAAGCCAAAACATTAGGTCCAGTATAAAGGGAGGGACTGCGCTCGTAATGCGATACCCCGAGGAAGTCACGAGCAGACGGTGACGTAACACGTAGGTTCGCGAGTCCGTAGTTCCGGTGAGTGGTGACGCATTTCCGGCGTGAGACGCCATTTTGCTACACCCAGGAGGTCCCATTCACATGCAGTACACCCACACATCAGTGAGGAGGGAAGACTGCTTGTAATGTGAGTGATACTCTTTTTACTCTTTGAATAAACCAAGTTGACTAAAATACTGCACTTAGGGGTTTTCTTGGCTCACTGGATTGGTGAGCTATTATTCTTCAGAACCATCCTGACTGATCAGGGGCATTAGGAGCCCCACAAAGGAGATCCAGGGAAGGAAGGAAGCTGCTGGCCATTGCAAATCAAGGATTCAGGGTGATCCTGCAAGCCTGTTGGCCCCTTGGGGTCACTAGGAGGAGGGAGGCAATCTAGCCGTTAACAGGAGAAGAGTTTGGCACAATCACGGATTTATTTAATTATCACTGCTGCACACTGCATGATTTGATTCATTTTCACAAAAAGGACATTGTTTAAAAACACATTTATAAATGTTTATTCATTT